GAAGCCGGTAGCACTCGGGCAGCCCTTTCCCCATGGCTGGGAGTGGGAGGGAGGAGGGGGCAGAGTTAGGGCAGGGAAGGAGCGGAGTTGGGGTGGGGTGGGGGTGGGGAAATGGGCGGGGCCAGAGCCCGTGGAGGGTCCTCTTTTTTTATTTAATAGATATGGTAACCCTAGTGTTTTGGTTGGCTAGCTCCCAGCACTAAAAGGGGAAGAGTCGATGGGAAATCAGGAGCCTGAGACTGACAGTCCCCAGGAACAATGGGGAGAGGCCAATGCTCCAGATCAGCCTGATTGACAGGGCAGGCAGGCTAATCAGAGAGTCAGGAGGCCAAGGGGGTCCCATCCTCCCTGTGTGACCTGGAATTGCCTGAGTCAGACAGAGTGGGGCCGAGCTAAGGAGAGAGCGGGGCCTGAGCTAAGTTGCTGGAAGCAAAGCTGCAGCCACCAGAGTCAGAGGGACCAGACAAGCAGTCTGGGAGGCAGGGTAGAGCTGGGAGCAGAGTCACAGAAGCAGCCTGCAGAGCAGACCTGTCCTGGGGGCAGAGCTGCAGCAACCAGAGCCAGAGAGGCCAGAGAAGCAGCCCAGGGAGCTGAAGGCAGATCAGCAGCAGCAGCCGGGCTGAGGCAGTGTGGGGCTGGAGCAGTCTGGAACTGGGTGTGGTGAGCAGCTGGGGAGAGCGAGGGGGACCCTGGGCAGCAGGCCCAGCGCAGGGAGACACCTCAGCCAAGAGGCTCTGCAGGCCAGACTTGGAGGTGGATTGTAACCCTGACAGGGCAGGGGCAACGCTGGGAATAAGGGTCGTGCCACCTAGAGCCTGAGAGCGTGTGTGGCCACCGCCAGAGCAAGTGTTCGACCCGCAGCGTCTCTGCAGCACAGCCAGGGCCTGAGAAGGAGCCTGGGACCTACAAGGAACAGACTGAACTGCCCTGACGTTCCAGAGACACTGTTTGTGATGTTCCCTGCCACAGAGCAGGGTGATGTGTTTTCCTTTAACTTTTCCCATTTTTCCTTATTCTTTTTTAAATTAATTGTTAATTAAACAACTTGTATTTGCTTTAAATTGTATGAAATGATCAGTGGGTCACCGAGGTGCCCAGTGCAAAGAGAGTACCCCGGAGTGGGAACACCCTAGCCCCTGTCCTGGGTGACCACAGCAGGGTTGGGGGTCGAGACCCCCAGGAAACCTGGGCCCAGCCTTGTCGGAGTTTACAAGGACTCTGCCAGACAGGAGAGTGGAAGGGGAGTCCTCAAGGGCAGGGAGGCCTCTGGGTAAAGGGAGTGGGAGCGAGGACTCAGATCCTTTTGCTAGCCCACTTCACCGGGGTAGTGCAGAAGCCAGGAAAGTTCCCCACAATAGCAGGACCATTCTCCCGCTTACATATAGGAACCCTAACCCTAGGGCGGGGAGCCCTACCCATAGCCACCCAAACCCTAGCTCTAAGTACCATACCCTGTGAATCCTAACCCTAGGGCTGGGAACTCCACCTATAGGATCCATAACCGTAGCTGCAAGTACCATACCCATAGGAACCCTAACTCTAGCCCAGGACATCCTAATCTCAGAAACCCTAACCCTGGCCCAGGGAGCTTTCCCCTTCCAAACCCTAATCCTGGTCCAGGGAGCCCAACCCTCTGGAAGCCTAACCCTAGCATGTGGAGCCATAACCTTTGGAACCTTAACTCTAGCCGGGGAGCACTACCCTTTGAAACCATATACTTAGCCCCTGGAGTGTTATGTTTTGGAACCAAAACCCTAGGCCCAAGAGCCCCACCATCTGGAACCCTGTCCCTATCCCTAATAGTCCTATCATATGGTAGCCTAACCATAACCCCATAAGCCATACCTTGGGAACCCTAACCCTAGCCCGAGAAGTCCTACCATCTGGTTTAGATATGCCCACTAGTGGCAGCATGTAGCACTTACACTATCTAGCACCTTTAACCATCAAAGTGCTTTATAAACACTAGCCAGAGTTGCCAACATTTGAAAATGGTTTCAACGGACATTTGCTAACTAAGCTGAGGTCTAGCTGATGAGACCCCAGGCTCTGGAGGGTTGTGTGCATATTCTGCTGAGTGTAAGGTGATTTTTTCCTTTTGAGGAAGAGGCAGAGAAAAGTGCCTGAAATTCAGCAAAATGGGCCTCAACCCCTCTAGCACCTGGGCCCAGCACCTGCATGACTGGAAAAATTATCACTTGACTATGTCAAATTGTCCCTCTCCCCAACCTGACAGTTCTCTCTTCCTCATCTCCCACCTCAGCTCTGGGTTCTATTCATCTCCATTCACTACTTCTTCTCATGCTGGAGGAGTATTCTACTGTGTAAGCACGAGGTCAAACACCTTGTTTAGGATCTCCCCCAGGCAGGGCCTGGACTGCCCTCTATTTTGCCTACATTGAGTGTAGATGTGCTCAGCCGGAGCTTGGGAGGTGATGCCTGTACTTAGAGAGGCCTAAACGGTCTCACCAGGTACAGGCATCACCTCCTCTCTCCCCAGGCTCCTGCTGAGCACAACTGAGAGGCACCCAGGGCTTCAGAACCATGTGGTGATTCTCAGAGCTCATCACGCCTCATCAGCTGCTAGAAGGATTCTTCAAGCCACTTGCCCTACACCAGTGGTTCTCACATTTTTTTATTGGTGTCCCCTTTCACAGACAAGCCTCTGAGTGCGACCCCCTTATAAATTAAAAACATATTTTTATCTATTTAACACCATTATAAATGCTGGAGGCGAAGCGGGGTTTGGGGTAGAGGCTGACAGCTCACACCCCCCCCCCCCATGTAATAACCCGATGACCCCCTTAGGTCTCCCAAACCCCAGTTTGAGAACTTCTGCCCTACACCCTGTGGCCATCTCTGGGAATTGCAGCAGCTCACAGGCCTGGAATGCTGGCAGAGGCTGAAGTTACCTGGGACTTATTTGCAAAGAGGAGCAACAAAAATGATTAAAGGTCTAGAAAACATGACCTATGAGGGAAGATAGAAAAAAAAATGGGGTTTGCTTAGTCTGGAAAAGAGAAGACTGAGAGGGACATGATAACAGTTTCCAAGTACATAAAAGGTTGTTACAAAGAGGAGGGAGGTAAATTGTTCTTGTTAACTTCTAAAGATAGGACAAGAAGCAATGAGCTTAAATTGCAGCAAGGACAGTTTAGGTTGGACATTAGGAAAAACTTTCTGTCAGGAAATCTAAGCACTGCAATAAATTGTCTAGGGAGGTTGTGGAATCTCTGTCATTGGAGATTTTTAAGAACAGGCTAGACAAACACCTGTCAGGGATGGTCTAGATAAAATACTTAGTCCTGCCGTGACTGCAGGGGACTGGACTAGATGACCTCTTGAGGTCCCTTCCAGTCCTATGATGCTATGAAATAGAGAAACAGCAATGGCATAGCCACCTTTTTTTATTGGGGGGGGGAGGGGAGAGGGAGCTAGAGTTAAAAAAATAATAGCTGTTTAATATTGCTTTAATCAGTAGTTTTGTATCATAGCTAAATGTGTCCACTTTTAATAGAGACAGATGAGCTTCTGTTCCAAACCCTGTGTTTCCTTTATTTATTACCGCAATCCCTAACATTTTGGAAGGGCTAAAGTCCCTACAAGCTCCCAGTTCCTACATCCATGGGCAGTGACTGTAACCTGGAGGTAGAAGGTCTAAAGCAGAGTGTAAACTCAGAGATGAATGACAGAGCAACCAGTGTGATAGAGGATATCCTAAAACAGAGAGGCCCCTCCTACCACAGTGTCCAAAATCAGAGGGAGTGTGAGAAGAACTCCTTCAACTATCAGCAACAATAGAGCATTCGTCATTAAAGAGTGATGAGGAAAAAAACTGCCCCTGAAGCCTGGGAGAAAGATGAGAGAAAGTACAGACAACACCATGCTACAGAGAACTCTGTCAACTCCTCAGGGATGGGCAATAATGACTAATGGATATAGGGGATCAGACCTCAAATACATCAGGAAGCCCTATCCCAGGCAGATGGCTCCCAGCTCTGACGCCTCTGAGGTGCTGGCTCCTTTTCACACTTTGGCAACACTCATCATGCTGATAAAGCTTTATTGAGTGGGATGGTGTCAGACTTGCCTCTCCACTTTCAGATGTCACTGGCCTTCAGTGGGAAAGGGACAGGGAAAGCAGCTGCAGGAGGATGAGGGAGGGAGCACAATGGCTGACCTAAGCAGTGTGCATCTTCTCTGGAAATACTGTCACTGTGGCCCAACTAACTGCCTTGGAAAGAGGAATCACAATCTTCCTGGATTTAATCATTCCTCTGCTTTTGTCTTCTCTTGCACTCCTTGCCTTTGTAATACAGCCAGACTCAAATTGAACCATGCCTTCAACCACCCTAGCCACGGTTGCCAACTTTCACACAGTAAATAAGCACCCCGACTTTCACAATAAGCCAAAAATCAAGCTAATCCCATTTCAAAACAAGCCAATCCTAAAGAACCTCAACACGCTATGTGACTAGCAGAGGTGGCAGATTTATATAATTTTTGGTGGTGCCTAGAATGGGTCCAAGTCATTCCTCCCCCCCCCACACACACACACACCTCCCTAAGCGTCTGAGAGGAATTTTGGGTGCAGGAGGGGGGAGGGGCCGGGCTCTCAGAGAGCGTTTGGGTGCGGGCTCTAGGCTGGGGCAAGGGGTTGGAGTCAGGGCCGGCTCTAGGCACCAGCAAACGAAGCACATGCGGGGCGGCAGGGGCAGCATTCAGGACACTTTCTTTTTTTTTGTGCTGCGGCTCCGGAGGTGGTTTTTTTTTGCTCCAGAGGTTGGGGGTTTTTTTGCGCTTGGGGTGGCAAGAATCCTAGAGCCAGCCCTGGTTGGAGTGCAGGGGGTGGGCTCTGGGAGGGCGTTTGGGTGCGGGCTGGAGCAGGCAGATGGGGTGTAGGGGACGGGCTCTGGGAAGGAGTTTGGGTGCAGGGTCTGGGGCAAGGGGTTGGAATGCAGGAGGGGGCTCAGAGCTGGGGCTGAGGGTTGGGGAACAGGGGGTGAAGGCTCTGGCTGGGGGCACAGGCTCTGGGGTGGGGTGAGGCAGAGCCAGGGATAAGGCGCTTGGGATGCAGACAGGTTGCCCCAGGGCTAGGGCCAGAGAGGAGGACTCCCCCCAACCCTCTCCCCACCAGCAACAATGAGCTCCGGGGGAGGGACCCCACCTCTTCCCCACCACCCCAACAGCACACTCACCCTGCACCACTGTCACTGCACGTGCTCCTAGGGCCCCTCTCAGGTCCAGGAAGCCCGCTCGCTCCCCTATGATGGGTGCCGGGGGGGGGGGGTTGCCATCACATGTGGCCTCCTCCACTGCTGCTGCCCCTCACCGTAGCCTCACTGGGGGTGGGGGGTGGGGCTGCCCTTGCTCAGCGTGGGGCAGGAGAGGTGACTGGGGGTGGCACACGGTGTCACAACACTCACCCAAGCCCCAGCTGCTCAGATCCAGGAAGGCTCCCCCCCGCCTCCCTTGTGGTGGGTGCCGGGGGGTGGGGGAGAAGAGGAAGGGGGCTGACATCACATGTGGCTTCCTCCCCTGCTGCAGCCTGCTGCCCCTCACCGTAGCCTCATGGGGGATGGGGCTGCCCCTTGCCAGCATGGGGCAGGAGGGGCGGGGGCATGGATCATAGGGTCAGACACTCACCAAAGCCCCAGCAGTTGCCCAGGTGAGTGAGGTCCAGACCTCTCCCATGCCGGGGGAGGAGAGGGCTGCCAATCATGTGTGCGCCTCCTCCCCCTCCTCCCGTGCAGCAGCAGCCAGCTGTCTTGGCCAGCCCCTGCTCTTGTGCTGTAGCCTAGCCTTAGGCAGCAGCAGCCGGCAGTGCAGACAAGGGAGAGCAGGGTGGAGCAGCAAGGCAGCTGCCCGCTTTTAATCAGACAGGGATGCTCTGGGCCCAGAGGAGGCGCGCAGGGGCCAGGGGATGATTCAGGAAGGGTCGGGGGAGAGACCCGTCTCCAAACATTGGTGGAGCCGGGCTCCCAGCCCTGAATATCCCTGAAGCCCGTGCACCACGGGCCCATATAGCTCGCTGCCCCGGTGACTAGATCCCCCCGGTGTGCAGTCTGGGACTGTGGTGGGCCCACTGTACACACCTGACTCTCTCCCCCCACCCTTGCCCCTCCTTGCCGGGAGCTGATCAAAAAAAAAGAAGAAGAAGCTACAACCAACTCAGAAGCCAATTAAGCCAAAACCAAGCCCAATTTCTGCCCCCTTTTTTTTTGCAGGGTTGGCATGTCTGCCCATAGCCCCTCTCGCCTTTTCTTTCCTTTACTAAGGCACCACAGACACATTAGAAGAAAAAAATCATAGCAAACAGTAAATATTTCCTCATTAAAAAACTGGAATAACTCAGCCGACAACCTTCCCACTGAGGATCCAAACAGCTCTCCTTGTCTTCCTCAGCCCACCTTGTATATACCAGTCACTCACCTCCCTTCTTCCTCAGAGGCCTGCAGTCCCACATAGGAGTGTTTGCCTTCTTGTTTGTTCAGAGTTCTAGCCACACAGCTCAGCAAAGAGGCGGGAGAACAGAGGATTGGACTGCAAGGGACGGAGAAGAAAAAAGCAGAGGGAAGAGGAGAGAAAAAAGCAGAGTAATGGAGGAGAGAGGTGCACTGAGTGCTCAGTGAGGTATTTTAGTTTCGTTTCTCCTGCAGTGTCTTAGGAAGGAAGACTTCCTTATGATCTTTTCCTTTATGACACATCATAGATAATTTTAACGAATGGATATGTTTGCCGTGTAAAATCTTCATCAGGGTTCCTAGTTGTTGTATAGCAGGGGTAGGCAAACTTTTTGGCCCGAGGGCCAAATCTGGGTGGGGAAATTGCATGCAGGGCCATGAATGTAGGGCTGGGGCAGGGGGCTGGGGTGCAGGAAGGAGTGCGGGGTGTGGGAGGGGGTGTGGTGTGCAGGAAGGGGGTCAGGGGAAGGGGTTGGGACAGAGGAGGGGGTGCAGAGCATGGGAGGGGGCTCAGGGCAGGGGTGCAGGGAGGGGTGCAGAGTGCAGGAGGGGGCTCAGGGCAGGGGGTTGAGGTGCAGGAGGGGTGCAGGGTGTGACAGGGGGCTCAGGGCAGGGGGTTGA